CGGCGGCGGCGGCGGCGACGGGCGGCAGCAAGAAGAGCTCCAAAAGCACGATCGGCTGCGGACCCGGGTTCTGGAAGGAGGGATGCTTGCAGTCCGAGCTCATACAGTTTCACTTGAATAAGAGCCTGGGGAAGAAAGGGACGAAGATGCCGACGAAATTAGCGACACCGCCGGCCTCAGAGCCAGAGCTGTCCCCCGAGCCAGACTGTCCAAAACCGGCTCCCCGGCCAGATCAGACACTACAAGAAGATATTGAGAAGCTGGAGGATGAAAACGACGATCTTAAGGTAAGTTGCTGATGCATTAAAAACAGTGTTGTTTGTTTTTTATTTTTAGCTTTGGGGCGGAGTTAGATTTTCATTTGTGTCCCTCTGTCTTTTGCAAGATTGAAATCGAGGAGATGCGGGCAGAGATGGACGAGATGCGGGACACCTTTTATGAGGAAGACGCCTGCCAGCTGCAGGACATGCGCAGAGAGCTGGAGAGAGCCAACAAGAACTGTAGGATCCTTCAGTACCGACTGAAGAAGGCCGAGAGGAAGAGGCACCGGTTTGCAGAAAGTGGAGAGGTTGATGGAGAGCTGCTCAGAAGTCTGGAGCAAGACCTCAAGGTGAGTGTATGCCGAGCTGAGGCTCATATATGCAGCATGGTTCATGACAACTTCTATCTTTGCTTCTGTCTTCCTGCCATCCATCTGGGTCTCTCTCTCCCTCAGGTGGCGAAAGATGTGTCTGTGCGCTTGCACCACGAGCTTGAGAGTGTGGAGCAAAAGAGGACAAAGACAGAGGACGAGAATGAGAAGCTGAGGGAGCAGCTGATTCAGGTGGAGGTCACCAAGCAAGCCCTCCATAACGAACTGGAGAAATCCAAAGAGGTGAAGGGCTGATGGGACCTGTTTGCTCTTTGTTATTCTATCTTGAACTGTATGTAAGGTCAGGCTGAGGATAAATGGCCGATGAGCTCCACAGATGGAATGTTTTGAGACATCAGGGATCACAGGGATCAACATGTGATGTTTTCATGGCAGCAAAAGTGCATTCCAGATGTATGTATGTATTTCCTTTTCAAGATGAGTAAGATATGCATTACTTACAAAGATGACACAGATCTTATAACAAGTCCTTTGTGGGGGTCTTTTTACATCCAGGCTGTAAAATCAAACTTACACTGTGTTATGAATTAAAATTACGTGACCAGAAATGTTCTCCAGGGTGGCTTTAAAGAGGCTTGTTTTTCCAATGCACGGAGCCTTCAGTGCTTCATAAATCTGGGTGATATTACTGCCTGCAGTAAGAAAAAAAGAGCTGCTTCTGATGCTGCTGATGTAACCACTGTTTCCCCGCAGCTCTCACTGAAAAGAAGAGGAGGTAAAGATGGGCAGAAAGCGGAGAGAAGGACACCACAGACCCCGGCCGAGGTAAGTCAGCATTTAGATGAACTTCATTGGAGTGGTTTTAAAAGTAAAATTGCAATGAAAACATTGTTGGAACTTACACAACACGTATGTGTACTTTACCATGGTCCTCTCTCAGGAAGAAAATGAGGATCTGAAATGCCAACTGGCCTTCATCAAGGAGGAAGCCATCTTGATGAGGAAAAAAATGGCAAAGATCGACAAGGAGAAGGATCGTCTGGACCAGGAGCTTCAGAAGTACCGCTCCTTCTACGGGGACGTGGACAGCCCGCTGCCTAAAGGGGAGGCCGGGGGGCCGCCCACCACCCGGGAATCCGAGCTGAAGCTCCGCTTACGCCTGGTGGAGGAGGAGGCGAACATCTTGGGGAGGAAGATTGTGGAGCTGGAGGTGGAGAACAGGGGGCTGAAGGCTGAACTGGATGACATGAGAGAGGACAGGTACTTTGCCTTCATCTGTCGGTTTTTGATTATTGAAAAGGAACGAAAGACGGATTAAATTGTAGTGGCAGCTGTAAGGGAAAGGAAAAGCGTAATATATACCTACATTACAGAGAACCAGTGAACTAAGTGAAAACAACCTTTGTGGTTTAACCAGATTGTTGAGCGAATATATTGTGGAAAAGAGAGGACTGTAGAGTGGATGTGACATTTCTCAATGCGCCTTTTCTCTCCTAGTCTGGCGGCAGCGGGAGTGGACAGCTCTGGTGTTGGGGGTCAGCACTGCAGAGAGCAGGGCGAGGCCCTGTCAGAGCTGAGGCAGCAGCTTCAGCTGGTGGAGGACGAGGCAGAACTTCTCCGCAGGAATTTAGCAGATGTGGAAGAAGAAAACAAAAAGGTAGATGGATTTGACTGAGCTTATACTTACTTATAAATTGTATGGAAATGCTTACCTATAGTTTTTCTGCCTGCAACTGCTTTGAATTGTGTTTTTCCTCTATTTGAAGCCTTGTTAACCATTGTGAAATCTTAAATATATCTACCAAAATGGCAACCTATAAATAATTGATGTTATAAGCATTTTCATATATTTCTTGGCAATCTAATGCAGTTTTTAATTTCAGCACTGTAAAGTGTCTCTTATGTCCTTGTGTATGCAGTATTATTGTTGTAAACAATGACATGTCAAGTAATACTTTCTTCTACATTCTGTTTAATATACACACGGGAATAATATAATAATCAGTTTCATCTTTTAAGGTGACAAATGAACTCAATAAACTGAAGTACAAGGCTGGATCCCATGAAGCTGGATCAAGACATGGAGGTTTGTTTGTATTTCATCTATTCACCGTTGCATGAGACCAAAAAACTCGGCCATAAATATCTATTCTTCCTTTCAGCTCGATGTTTCGGTGGCTGATGAACAGATGTCTTTCACTAGGCCCACAGGGAGCTTTTGCGGCAGTGTTCCACTTGTCATTGACGCCTTGTTTCACGCCGCAGGAGGAAGTGACCCGGCTAAACTGGATGCCGTCCAGGAGGAGCTGAAAGCCGCGCGTCTGCAGATAAACGAGCTGAGTGGCAAAGTCATGCAGCTCCAGTACGAGAACCGCGTGCTGCTCTCCAACATGCAGCGCTACGACCTGGCGTCCCACCTGGGCATCCGTGGCAGCCCCCGGGACAGCGACGCCGAGAGCGACGGAGGACGGGACGACGACGGGCCCTCGGTCTCGGTGCCCTCGCCTCGCCTCCTCCCTCCCCACCGCAAGCGCGAAGGCCCCATTGGAGGGGAGAGCGACTCCGACGAGGTGAGGAACATCCGCTGCCTCACCCCGACGCGTTCCCTTTACTCACCGGTAGAGAGTCGTTTTTTATCCCGAAGCCTGAAGGACCGGCAGCAGATGATAGATATCCGCATCGAGGCGGAGAGGCTGGGTCGGACCATCGATAGGCTCATCGCTGACACCAGCACTATCATCGCCGAGGCCCGAGTCTACGTCAACAGCGGGGAGCTGTTCGCCAGGCTGGATGAGGACGAGGAGGGTGGCAGGTAACGAAGAAAGTAGAAAGAGGTTTCCATCAGGGAATTTCAACCCTAACTCTAAACCCTTTTTTGAGGCACTGAACTTAAAGCGTTGTTTGGTAGTCGAAAAACCACTTTTGTGCTCCCCAGGATCCGAGAGCACGAGCTGCTGTATCGGATCAACGCCCAGATGAAGGCCTTCAGGAGGGAGCTGCAGGGCTTCATAGACCGGCTGGATGTCCCCAAGCAGGAGGATCAACAAGCAGAGGAGCCGCTCTCTGTAAGCCGACCCAAACACATCAAATGAGTTACTTTGACAATCGCAATGTCCTGTGGTCTCTAATCTGCGTGTTTCTTACATGTCCATCTTCCCCTCCCAACATTCTTTATTTCATCATCACTCATCTGAAGATGTTTCAGCCCATTATTTTGCTGATCCTCATTCTTGTTCTGTTTTCCTCCCTCTCTTATGCCACCATTTTTAAATTGGTATTTCTTTTCACTCTGTTCTTTGTTCTGTGAAGGACACCCACGATATAATTATTATGTACATTTTCATTATATATTTTTCACCCATTCATTAATTTCAATTCTTTTATTTTGAACCCGTCACATAAGGCCACTAAAGGTACAGGACATTGTCATTTTACATTTATCATCCAAGCCAATCATCTCCCCGGACCCCTTCAACATGTATTGGAGACCAAACAGCGTGGAGCGACACTGTACCGTTAGGTGAGTTGGTCCTTAAATTCGCTGGCATTTGGCAACCTAAGAGTTTGGTAGTTAAACAGTGAGTCCTCACATTCTTTGCTCAAGTAGAAACCAACTGTGGGTGTGTACCAATAACTGTCTCACTTTCGCAATTTTCACTCTTATTAATATATAGAGTGGGGACATTATTAATTAATGTATTGCATGGCTCTGTCCATTTTGGACTTGAGTGAGAGTCTTATCTGACACAATAATAGTTTTCTTATGGCTCTGTAAAGCCCAAAGGTTAGCAACGCAGCAATAATCTGGTTTATGAGCAGCACATTGTACCGTGCAATTACCGTGTTGTGACAGTTAAAACAACGCAACACACACACACTACCAAAACACACTCATGTGGACTCTTTTCCCAGTCCTTCTAAACAGTTTAATGGTGAAAACGTCACAGCAATCATCCAAATGTACAAAGGGAATATGAATTGTGTACAAAGGCCCTCGGGTGGGTTCTGGATTAGAGAAAAAAAATGTGTTTAACCTGCGGACCTGGACTTGACCACCAGGACGGGGGCGGAACCGGCCCACTTCCAGCCCGACGGTACAATGCCTGACTGCACGTAGGAGGGCCAGCTGTGGAGAGAGAGAGACAGACAGAGAGAGAGAGGGGGGGGGGGGCGGGAGCCGGGGGCGGGGGGGGGGTTAACTTGTATTTCGGTTAATGAAACCATCATTTGAGCACAATGCTGTAACTCCCCAGTTGTTTCACTGCATTTTAAATCAGATTGGTTTCAGATACCTCGCTGGCGGAAAATCGGCTCTCGTGGTTGTTATTTTTAGGACACTTTTTGCAACATCGGGCATTCCGTACTAGAGGACGAGGTAAGGGGGTCTCTTTGTCCAAATGGCGCGTACTTATTCCACGTTACTGTGTTGCGCGTGAGAAAACAGCAACGAGTGCAGTGCGCGTGCGTGGTGGCGAGATGGCGGACTTCGGTTGTCTCTTACATAAAATGACATTTGTTTATACCGTCAACAAATCTATTACGAGGCAAAGGTTCTGTCGCCATGGATACAGCGCAAGGCGGCATGCGGCGGTGCAATTGGAGCGATCATCCGGCGTTGATTAATGGAGCCCCGGGCCGCTCCTTCTCAGCTCGCCTGGCTGTCGCAAAGCTTGGTTACAGCGAGTAAAAATACACCGCTGCTCGCACATTAGTGCGCGCCGTGATATTTTTGGGAACTTCTCCCACTCGCGTCGGGGTGGCCACTGACCGCGGCCCCGCAGCTCCGCGAGGTGCGCAAGGAGACGGCACCGTGCGTCCCCGGATTTGGACAACGTGCGCAGCGCGCAGGGACGTCTCGGCCAGAAGCGTTTGCAAACGGGACGCCGTGGGGACTCCTGGCACGAGAAGGACGCCTTGACCGTGTCTCTGGGAGGACATGGACAGGATATCATAAGGTCCCGCCGCGTCTCCGTGCGTGCGGCGCGCGCTACTGCGCGGCAGACGGGAGATTCGGCCCGGTTTGGATAATTAGCCGCTCACCGACCGAACAACAAACGGCGAATGTATGCTCAGCTGTGTCATACACGTGCAATGGATACCCTGGCTTTTAAAGTTATTGTTTTCTTTTAATGTTTCATTTCAATGCGCTGGGACAATGTGGAGTGCGTTTATGAACGGCCCGGGTCTGCCCGGCGGGGGCGGAGCCGGTGGCGGCTTGGTCCCGTCGCAGGGATGGGAGTTTGTGCCGTGCGCCGGGATGGAGAGGCCGGATAGAGGCTGCGGGAAGAGTCGCAGCCCGTTGAGGAGTATCTCCTCTCCGCCCGCCGTCTTCAGCCACATCTACGAGTCTCAGTTGGGTGCTTCACCGGGTGGAGCAGAAGGTGGAGCAGGGACACAGCTTGAGATCCCCAGGGGACAAATGTGGCCTGGTGCCGAACCTCAGCAGCAGCAGCAGCAAACACAACACACTCGGCTGAAAAAGAAACTTGAGGATTTGAAAAAGCGACACGTTCAGGATAAGGAAGGATGGACGCGGGAGAAGGAATCATTGTTGAGAGAAGTAGCTGACATACAAGTGATTGGAGATATTTATTTACCCCTTTGAAAGCTAAATATACTCCTGTGTGTCCGCAGTGCGTTTGTGATGCATATGCCTTGTTTTCTGAAGCAATGTGTCAATGATGTCTAATTTGAAGTCAGTGAATCTGTGGTTTCATGTATTATACTCAAAGAATATTCTTCGGGGCTTCAAATTTAAAGCGTGACGTGATGAAACACCATTGTTTTAATTTCCTTCTCACTTCTTGTTTGTTATTTACTTCAAATATGCCAGTTCATTTGGTTGACAAGATTGCTGTAAACTGTGTTTCCGCGCAGGGAGGAGAGAACAGGAGGATTCTGCTGGAACTGAAGACCGTTTTGGAGGAAGTGCAGGCGGAGGTGAAGAAAGAGGAGGAGAAGAGGAGCGAGCTCCAGCTGCAGTACACCAGAGACCGATGTGCCTGGGACCTGGAGAAGGCAGAGCTCAAATGCAGGATCGCACAGGTAACTGAACGGATGCCGACTATGATTTTTGAGTGGTATATAAGACTGCAGACAAACACTTAGTTGGTGGCAGAGTGTTTGTGTATTCTAGAGCATGGTGTGCACTGCTGTGCGTGTCTGGTGTGTGAACATATGTAAACCTTGTTGGACAGCGATAGCTCACTGCACACACAAGAATGCTTTGTTAAAATTTGGTATCTAGATCGGTTGTTGTGTTTGTATGTTGTTTTATGTCTACATGTGTGTGCATATCTGGCCAATCACACAAGCACAACTTTGATATGTGTGTCTTCCAAATAAGTTGTTCAACATGAAAAAGTGTAACGAAGCATGCAAAGGTGTGTTAAAAACAACCTTACAACATACATGCAGTAAATCACATATATTTATATAAAAATGTGGCCCCCAGGGTACTATCCTGTGGCACCCCACATCCCATTCATCACACTCTGACATCCATTCAACTCAAGCCTCAGTTTAGAGAAACAATTTGCAGAGAGGAGACAAACGTTATCCGCGCTTAGCCAGAAACAGATACCCAAGTGTCTTTTTCAGAACTAACTCTTAAGTAGACAATATAACCTTGTGTTGCCTTGGAAAGCTGCTGTCTATTGTCTCCTTAGACAATGACTTGGCGTTAAGTTTGCATTCCAGTGCCATGCTGTGTCAAGAACACCCAAGGACCATGCATTCCTCAAAGCAATGTGGCTTTCAGGATTTAGCTTATTTTACTTAAAGTTTGATTTATCTGTGTGCTGAGTGTCTTTGTGTCTCATTTATCACCACATGTCTAGTTTGCTGTGATGTCGTGACGCAGTATCTTTATCTGCCAGTTAAACCTGTGTGATTCCTATCGAAGACTTCGAGCTGATTTGACAAATATCTACAATTCTCCGGGTTTTAGCCATGAAGCACAGAAAGGTGGTGCTGGAGATCAGCAAGGTGGTGCATTGATCCTTTTGGAAAAGCTGGACAAGACCGCTGCTGACATGATGACCCAGGAATGCGACGTAGTAAAATGGTTTTCCCAGCGCAGATGGCTTAGCTGCCATAATGCCATTCCTTCTGTGTGAGTAGATGGCACACGGTTACTGTTCAGCTCGTGTCTTTGTCCCGCTGGCTCCGAGCCGTCTCCCAGCGTGGCTGACTGAGAGCCTTATAAACGCCAACTTTTACTGTTCTGCTTTGCTTTCGCAAAGCCCATGTAGCTGTGGGAGAAAGCGGCGGGATCCCAGTGCAGGAGGTTATGCCATGATGCCACACACACATGTCTCGGAGTTGAGCCACGCTGGGCAGAGTTAGCTCGCTTGTAAAAGTGCTTTTGTCTTGATGCCACATCCTGCCACAGTTTATAGTTTTTTGTACGTGTTTACCAAGTGCAATCTAGTGTTGCTCATCTGGTTCAAGATTACGTTTTTCTGAATCCATTCACAGCTAAGACATCTAATGAGCAAATTACAGACTTAACCTAATGTTTCTTTAACTTTTACTTAACTTGTACCCCTGATGGGGCAATAGGGAGTAAACTTGTAACCAGTCTTTTAACAAAGTTTGGTTGGCTTTTAGTTCTGGACATGTTATGTCATGTATCCGTTAATGAAATATAAGGTTGTTGACATTATATTTTCTTATTTATGCAATTCACTTTATTCAAGCTATTTAGACAGAACACTAAATCGGATAGATGATACTTGGACTAAAATGCTATTTTGTTCCACTTTTTATCTAAATTCCTGAGCAAATCCCATGTAGGCGACACAGAAATAGGCCAGAATGCCCGGAAATCGACACAAAGAGCATCAGTAGTGGAAAATGGTGTACCTTAATTTCACTTTAAAGTGAAATGTTGGCAATTTCAATATGAGTGTGAAACCGCTGTGAGTGCGGCTGCAATGAAGAAGACATTTCTCCTCAGACAGAGAGCATGTACAGACCGTGTTAACGACGTAGAAGGTATTGGTTTCAATGCTGATCTTCACACAAATAACAATCCTGAAAAGATGTGAAAAGTGACTGTAGAATGAGTGTGTAGAATGTATGAGATGCAAGCAGTTAAATGACTCCTTTGTACTCTTCCTGGCAGTTTTTGTATTGTTAAATCTTGCTCGTTGTAATGAGACATCGGCAGCATGCGGTCAGAAGGAGGTAGACAGGACACAGAGGAGTTTGCTCCAGGCAGCCAAGAGAAAACATTAGTGTATGGAGCGAGCGGCGGATACAGAAGGACCTGCAGAAGGAAGGTGGAATTTCAAGGTCCCTTTAAAGGATGCCTTAAAATGGCATCTGCACATTGTCATGGTCAAGATGTCCTAATCTGTCATTTTATTGGTCAAGGAACTTAAGCTGCATAGCTACAGATTGAATTTGGTCTGGCTGATAATGTCATTTATTTGCTATACCCGAACGTCTTCTAATCCTACGTTTTAATTGCAAATAATGCTGAAATTAAGCATTAGCACAGTTGTAGCTTATAAGCAAATGCATGCTTGTTCTTTTCTTCAGATTTAATTATGCACATTTCCCCACAGTAGACCACGGTTGTGATTCTAACTATTGTTTGTTGTTTCCACATCCTTTTTGGGCACTTTAACCGCCAAATACCAAGTTAGCATCCAAGGCAGTGGTCTTGCGCCAGATATTTCGTAATATATTTCTCCGCACGCCACTGATTTATTAATGCTGCTGGCAGCTAGAAGACATCTCACTCTGCCTTAGCAGCCAACTCCCCCCCCCCCCCCGGAATGTGACATTGTACAAGGCTGTCTGTCCTCTATTTATAGCAGGTGGCCGTGGTGACACCGTTACCTTTATATCCACTCTTCCACACAGTGACACACAGGGTGTCCACGAGTATGAGGAGTTGGTTCCTTGGGAAGGACGTGCACGCGTGCATGGGTGGGTTTACCCTGAAATGGTCCCGTTCATCCAGGGTTTCTTTTTTAAGACCGCTTTCATTTATGCACTCTCACCATTTTGTTTACGTTTGGATGTTTGAATAGACGGTGGACGTTACCCATCAGCACCCAGTGGTGGATGTGGAGGGAAAAGCCAGAGGCAGAGAAAAAAAAAGGTTGACATGTTTTTTTCCTCCATAATTTCATGACCCCAGGCCACAGGCAGAAATAGCAACGTGACCCCGGCTTGCAAGGCGGCTTTGGTCGCTGTCTGTGTCTGAACACTGAAATAACACACTCAGGCATGCTCGTGTGCATTCTCTCCCTCTCTTTAACGCACACACACACATTGGCATGCGCGCCTCACGCAAAGGCGTAGTCTTGGGCTCCATCCAGTTCCAAAGCCCACTTTTTTTTACGAGCAAAAGAAATGCACCAAAGAAATCCTGGATCTGGATCAGATAAGTTCCTACTATCTTATTGGTAGGACATTTTAGATTAGTTTTCCAAAAGCAGTTATCTCATCTGAAGATACAAATCAGACCACCAGTTTTGTTGTAAGTCTGTTTTTTTAAGCCTTTTGTCCTCACAGTGACTTATTTCGGCTGTAGGTTTTGGCTGTGACACGGTAACATTTTCAGGAAAATGGAATGGAGGGATAAAATCATATTCTTATTATAACAGAGAATTCCATTTGAACCTAATGCAATTATGACTTATGTTGAAATGAATCAGGGGTCCTGTTTAATTTGTGGTGAGAGATCCTCTTTGTATCTGTGAGAATTATTACACCAGAGTATTGTTCCACTGAGGCCACGTGCATACTTTGGAAACATGGGGAATTTAGCTGTGCATGAATCTGCCTTTTCCTGCACTGCATCCTGTGTCAGGGAAGCACCGAGACCTGAACCCTGAACCCATGAGCCCACTTGTGCTATTTTCCATCTGTCAAATCTCTCTCTTTTCTCCCTCTTCCATCCTCTCAACCCACTCGCACTCGTCCCGACGGTGCATTATCCCCCGACTTCCTCCACCTTCCCTTCCTGCCACTCCTGCATTCTTTTAATCCCACAAAAATGTCTTTCTCCACTGCCACGCTTGTCTCTTCCTTTGACTCACATCTACTTTTTCTCCAACTGTAAAAACCACTGACTTTTCCTCCGCTGTCTCTCCCCCTCTTTTCCCTTCCCTTATTTTTTTCCTTGTCTCCTCCTCTGTGCCCTCCACTCCCCGTCTGCGTGTTTCTTCTCCTCAGTTGGAGGATAGAGAAGGTGCCGGGTTGATGAGCGGTGCGGCGCAGTCGGCAGCGGATCCGAGCTCTGCGGCGTCACAGAGCGGCCTGAGGCAGCGCGGCGAGACACCAACGCTCCGCCGGGAGAGGGAAGAGCAGCGGAGGCTCCTGGCCGACACGCACTCAACAGCCATGGACCTGCGCTGTCGCATTGAGCACAACGAGAGGGACTGGTCGAGGGAGAAAGCAGAGCTGCTGGACAGATTTGACGTGGAGAGGAGGGAATGGGAGCGTCAGCTGAAGGATATGCAGAGGAAAATAGAAGAAGTAAGGTGCACTGAGTGTGTCTGATTCCAACGTTTCGTCTTGGTTTTCATTGTTTGGTTTTGAGTTAGAGTTGGATTTAGGTAAAAGTAAGGAGACTGCATAAAAGGACCACTCTGCAGTACGTAATGCTATTGCCAAACCTATGAGAGGTCTCTCTTTGTTGTGCATGAGCTATGGCTTCCTCAGCAGTGAGCGGCCCACAGTGTGTAACACTTCCCTCCTCCGCATCCTGTTCAACATCAACACTGTCAAAACAATATCCCCAATCAGTGCAGCTGCAGAGTTTGAGGAAAGGAAAGGGTGGGAGGAGGACGTCTTACTGATGTCTGTATAATTAGACAGTGATTGAGCAAGCCATGACCTGAGTGATGTAGACAGAGAAACCGGCAAGAAAAGTAGCTGGATTTCATCAAATCTATTTCTATTTCTTACATGATACAAAATATAAAGCAAGCAATTCAGTCTTCACTTTGAGTTTCATGAACTTGATATACGCAATTCACATTATGTGATAAACCAAACAAACAATCCATTGACCAAGTATTAAGATGTTTTTTTGTTTTTTTATATGATATTTTGAATTGTTGACTTTTTCAGTCTGTTAAGTTAAAATGGTTGAGTTGGATGAGATCAATTGGGGAATAAAGTGTATTCATTTCGAGCATATTAAGAGGTAAAGGTTAGGAGTGAGATGGTGTAGGTAAGAGCGCAAATATCCCACGCCAAGAGGAGTAGCTTAGTGTTTTGAATGATTGAGGCCAAAGTAGCTGGACTGAGTCCGAACTCTCTCATTTGCTCGTCCGAGACCAGAAAATGAGAGAGGAAAGCATTCAAGGATTAAAGCAGGCAGTTGTCCCATTCATACGCTGTGTGATGGTAGGGAGTGCCTCTATTTTGGGATTCCACTGTAGGAGGCCCGAGGTCATCCAATTTAATTTGGAAGAATTCTTTAAATGTTTCTTTTTTAGTATGCTCAATATTTTCTAAATTACGTTTTCTAAAAGAATGCATTTTAATGACAAAAGTGCGACATAGTAATAACGCAGTACAGCTGAAACAATGATCTCTATTCCTCTCATCCCTATTATAGCTGTACTGTGACGTGAGAACCAAGCGAGACGTGCAGGGCAGTGGGAGGCAAGGGGTCAATGAGGACGTACACAGGCTGAGCGTACGCTCCACCAGCACCGGCTCCAGTCTGCTCAGCGACAACGAGCCGCTCAGCAGCGGCAGCAGTCAGTCACCACCAGTCGGACACCCGCCTTTCCCTGGTTTTGGTCCCAACGCGGACATATGGGGCAGTGATTTTATCGGCAGAGATGGTCACCGCTCCAGCTTCCTCCCCGCAGACGGCCTTTGTGGATATGATGTTGGGGGTCCGACCATTCAGGAAGACCGCTCGAACCGTGAGCTGGCGAAGGAGTTAAGTTCCACTTGGCAGCAAGACTCGGCCCCTGATGGCAAAGAAGCCACGGGTGCATTAGAGCGGCCTGCTATGTTTCATGGAGCGCCTGGATGTGTAGTGCCACAGAAAAATGTCTCCGACTGTGAACAAAACATTATCCATGTTCATCCTGAAGCCAGCGACAAGAAGAACACCACTGCCCTCAATGCTGTGAGTGATCCAAACTATTTTTCTATTTGTTAAGAGCGCTATATTTATGTGGTTTATACGGATATCCTTGCCTCCTCTTTGCTTTGTGCTCTGATGTCACAAACTCGTTTGAGCATCAGTGTTCCTCTACCGTCTCCTGTATATTACATCGTTGTCATTCCAGAGAAATCTTCCTAATCTACCACATCCAGAATTTAAGTTTCATTGATACAGCATGTTTCAATATATCTCTGGTTGCCCGTCTTTGTGTCTCAGGCTCTCAAGGAGATCGCCCGTGCAAGTGAGGAGCTTTGCAGCTACCAAGATGAGATCAAAAAGAAGAGTGTAGATAAGAGGTAAATAAATCCCCTACTATATTAAATCCCTGGCACCAGTATGTTAAATCCCTGTTACTGTCTTGATGCATTTTCAATAAGGGTAAATGCAATTAACTGTTTAATTCTTTTCAGGAATCGAACCGAAGCCCCGAGCCTCTCTGAGGAGAAAGGGATGTTGTTTGGCCATGACAAAACCTGGCTCGAGGTCAATCACGCTCCTTGCGACCTGAGTCAGATTTACGATGACCTTCGGGCCTTGGAGAAGGAAAACTGGTCACCAGAAAACACCTGGAGGGCAGATAGAGAGTCAATCAAATCCTCGACAGCAAACGCTGCAGATCCAGAGAGTCGAAGAGAAACAAAGACAAGCCCTGGATTAGTCTCAGAGAGCGATGCAGCATGTCCACCCGTCCCTCCACGCTCCTCCTCCTGCAATCTGAGCTCCTCCCTTTATCCAGACACGGAACTTTACATCCCAGAGTCCCCCGTCACGACAGTGGGGAAGTGTCACAGCCCCTGTGTTCTAGTTGAGAAAATATGCAGCAGCCCATCTATTGTCAGGAAATTTGAGGCCATGCTACAAGTAAATGAAGGAAAGGTTTTGATGGACGGTGTTTTAGCTTCGGGCGCTGTACCTGCTAACTCTGAATGTGTTAACAGGGGCAGCTGTCACAATCGCTGGTCCTGTGATGCAAGCAAGTTCACAAGCAGCAAGCTGTCCACATATGGGACTGTCCAGAAAAGCTTCTCTGAAGTCAACATATTGACTGCTGCCAAAGGCTTGCGCTCAGATTACTGCCCTGGTGTTGGGAGCCGAAAAAGCCCAGAGCTACAAATACCTCAGATTGTCAAAGAATTACCTTTAGATTTGCTCTTGTCCTCTCTTGAAATACCGCCTGCTGGCTCCAACCTCCAGGGCTCCAGAAGAAACATAATGCTGGAACAGAAAACGGCCGAATTCAACAGAACTTTGTTTCAGTGTGAGATGGGCCACGGCGTAGAGAAACAGGACGGTTCTACAGCATCGGATGCCTGCCCAGCTGAGACAACACCTCCCAGGGAGACAGCACCTAGGCCACTCCACACTGATGTCACCACTAGAGTTCTGGATGTGTATCCTGACATCACATTATCTCTTCCCCCCTCAAATTCCACCATTCGGAACCCCGAGGTCCAGTCAAGACGAATGAGATGTGGGGCTGAAGGTCAGGAAGTCGGAATGAAGCAGGGAATCCCTTCTGACCCTCCATCTGGGCAGCAACAGATTGGACTCAAGGAGACAACACACCGTTGTGAGGTCAAGCACAAAGTTCAAACAGCAGGCAGCACTTCCAGGAAAGCACAACACAGAGCGGCCGCGGATGCTCCGTTTCCTGAGCCCGTCTTGCCTGCAGACGCCCAGCCTGGTCCGAGGAGGGTGGATGACGACGGCTCGTGCTCCGAGAAGGGGAATAATCCCCGCGGAGCAAAGTGGGCCCGAGTCGGTGTCTCTCACCGGCAGCCGTCTGCTGAGCACAAACAGAGACAGCAGGCAGAGCTCGGCCACGAGTCCGTTCCTCCTCCCCAGTCAGAGTCCGCCAGACCCGGGCCTCGGATGATGATGATGATGATGAATGAACATCCCTGGAAGGCACTCACCCTGGCTGCGTACCCGCGGCCCGAGGGCTCAAGATCCAACTACGGGGCAGTGGAGAGGATTCTGAAGAATTACGAGAGTGCAGCCCGGGCTCTCCAGAACCAAAGCCTACCCAACCAGATGGATTCCAGTCCCGACGATTCCAGTGGTGGGCAGGAGGGGAACGTGACGGTGCCGCACATGCCGGGCATTGACCCGCTGGCTTTACCTCCCACTCTGAGACATGCACAGACTTCAAACTCCTCACAGAAGCACAGCACACATGCGCAGTTCAGCCGCCACAGCGCCGCGGGGGGGAAAGAGGTCCATCTAACAGTGCAGGTGGGTAGCGCTTTCACATGGAAACACCCGCCGTGCCTCTCAGCGTTTGGCAGAGCCACTGTACAGATGTTAACACGTACAGGGCTTCTAATAAAATATGTAAATGCAGTTTTTTAGGTCAATGCATTATGTATAATGTGTAACGTAATTCCACCAGCGGAACCGAGTGAACTCGCACGCCTCATTGTTTCACTTCCTCCTGAAACACTAAGCGATTGCCCTTGACTGAGGACAGCTCCGGTGGGAATGTTGTTTATTTCTGGTACGTGCTAAGAGACAGAAGCAGGCCAGAGCCTCCATTATAAACTGGGCATCTGGGCCATTCTCTTGCTTGAAGGCTCCTAACAAAAGGACCTGGCAGTGTGGCACATAAAGTACTTGGCAGGAGATTTATCACCCTCAACCACATAGTTGTCTTTCATCTTCCAGTCCTTCCATGGGGCCTCGTGGTGGAAGTGTTTTGCTGCCCTTTGTGTAGTAATCATAGAAGCATCTGCAAGACGCCAGCTGACTGACATGCCCTCGCTTGAGTTGAAGTAACCGCGCTGCTTTAAAGTCATGCAAATGCTGAAGAAGTCATGGGAGCAATTATCGAGCCAGCTTCATTCCACTTCATGAAAACAATGTCATTAAAAGGTTCTGCTTTAGTTTAGTTAAACCGTAACAGTTCAGAAGAGAATTTTGTAGATTTAATAAATCCAGTAAATGGCAGCAGAACCAAGTAAGCTATTCCACTACAGATGCTTTTCTCTTGAATAAAAAGAATAGGATCTACTTATGTGACCTTTCCATGTGAGCGTGTTTGAAATATGCCTGTTGTTTCCTCCAGGGTCAAGAAGACTTCCGATGGAACACGTGACAAAATGTAAAGTATCTTGAGTGTGTGAATTTAAATGTTGGTGGAACGGTGTGATAATCCTACATGGTAATTCATTTGTTTCCTCACAGAAGAACCACGTGGCATCCGTCTCCCCCTTGCTTCAGAAGAACTTCTCCCGGCCGGCCCGTCCAGCCAACCGCCGCCTCCCCACCCGATGGGCCACGCGCTCCCCGACTCCGTCTTCCTCCACCTCCTCCTCCTCCTCCTCTCCCACTGCCCCTCCTGTTGTGGCTTCATCCTTCGGCCTCCGGAAACACAGTTCCTCTTTTACCTACTCGCACGCCTTTCACATCAAAACCGTGATTATTTGACCTCCACCTCACCATGTCACTGAACCGAGGAGAAGCCCTCAGCGCGAGCCTTCCGACACTGAACGTTCCATTTCAGAACTACTGTACATACCACACGCAGACTGCTTCTCCACTCCTACAGACTCAGAAGTGCTTTAATCGCAGGTTCACCCACTTACCTTTTAGAATGTATGTGGCATCCAGCCTTCAGATCCCTTTCTGACCAAAGATGCAAGAAAAGGATCCGAAGCAACTTCACGTATGCATCAGTGTGCTCCGGTGAACCTGCCCGAAGAACCAGGCATCGTGCGTAGCCTCAGAGGACGTTGAAAACACGTCATCTGTTGATGGCAACCATCGGATTGGATGTGCGATGCTCTGGTCTGGATTCTAGCCTTGATTAGCGAAGCCTCGCAGATCCATCAACAGAACTGCCACTACTGCTTCGGTTCTACGTACTGTATTTACACCTTTTAAAGTCATACTCGGTCTTATTCAAATGATCCAAAATCTTCCAGACAAAAATACATCCGGAGTGATATGGACTTACCATATATCTCCCAACGTGTTTTCTGGGGCTTTTGCACAAACTATCATGTTGCATACACAATATTGAGCACCATGGATCCATGGATGGATACAGAGGCAGTGAAGGTGTGTTTCTTTCTGCCTTCTTGAATGTTTCCTACACTACATGCCTGTACTGTACCTTATACCTGTGACTAAAATACCGGGCTATTCTTGGCTGGCTTTGCGTTTTTCATTAGTTACATAAGAATGTGAGTTGCTTTTTATAACTTTGTACCAAAGGCTGGTTTCTTTTTATGCATTTTGCTGATTCTATAATGAAATGCATTGTTTGTAACGGTATTGTTTTTTGCTGTCCCGCCCATTGCAAAATGTTTTAACACTGTTCACGAGAGCCTGCTTTTGTGCTTAGTATAAATAACAAAGCTTATGAATAACAGATTAAAAGGCCTTTTTCTACTTTTACTAATTCTGAATGGTCACATATCAGGACATTACTCAGCTGAGTAGTACAGTCAATTGTTTGGGTCAAAGAATCATATGATAAAGGTGATACCGTTTCTGTTCTTTTTGTGTAATAAACATAAGGACTTGCATATTTCTCCTCTCGTTTCACATCACTTACCAAAGGACCTACATTTGCACTGTACTTGGATTACACTGTATGTGCTGTTGGCACGGTGCAGATTTGACACTTTTATTTATCGGCAACTTAAACTAATTCCAGCCTGATCTCCAAAACCTGTTCGTAAAAATGTATACGAAAATCTTGAACATACAAATTTGTAGTGATACACACTAAATAAATACGGACTGCAACTGATGACGTCACCCTATTCAAAGTGAACGGGGACCTGCGCCCCGTAAACACACTTCGTGAAGTCTAACGGTAAAATAAACGTGTTATGACTGCATTTTTAACGAGAAATCAATGTTAAATTGTAAGAATAGAATACTAACCCTAACCCCCTCAAAAAATCCAACATGGCGGAGAGACGTTCACTCAAGAATCCAACATGGTCCGCCACGTTGTTCACTCAAGGGGCGTGGTTAACCACCGCCAGTTCCTATGTATTGTTCCGAATTTGTATGTTCAAGATTTTCGTATACATTTTTACGAACAGGTTTTGGAGATCACGTTGACTAATTCATAAAGCAACAGCATCACGTTTTTAAAAAGGACATTATAAAGCAGTATTTACGTAGTTAAACAACCCTCAAGACACTGCTCTCCAAAATGACCAATGATTGAATAAGTCCTCAACAGAGTCCTCCGTGACCATTCGACTCACAAAGACGAAGCACCGGAACCAAACGGCTTTCAGGCTCCTTCCATCTGGTTGGCTGACGTCTGTGATGATCTCTGCCTTTGAGTGATGGCTGCAGAGCGACGTGATGGGAGCGGAGGGGCCGCCTATCACTTTCATAGTGCGTGTGTGTGTGTGTGTGTGTGTTCCTCCACAAAACATTCTGCATTCCTTTTTTCTAAATGTGTGTGTATTTGTGTTCCTCACTGTTTTTGCACACATGCACACCCTCTTGCAGACATTAAGGGACCGCCTCACACACACATCCTTGAGCCGAGAGGCACGGACACCTAACCCCTCACCCTGAAACCTGGCGCCACAGGCTGACTGAAATAACAGGTGCAGCGATGTTATGGTGCCAGAAATCCTAGCCTGCCGCTGATATAAATATAAATATTGTCATCCTTCCTTGATGCCTGTTGCGCTGTGTTGGCTGCTTCTCACTGTTTTCCTGTATCAAGACTGGGCAGGCGTGGATTCCCAGTACTGGCCTTTGCTCAAGCCTGCAGGTTTCCAGATGCTGAAACCATTATATAACGGTTTGGATTCTAACGGGGCTTAAAACTCAATGGAAGGAATTCATTGAACAATCAAAGGACGCAGGTTCAACAACAAATGACTTTCTGTAGTCCACATTGTCTAGCAGCCTTATTAAAAAAAAGTCACGGTGTTACGCAAACAGTATAATGGTAAAGTTGAGTAGTTATCTATGGTCATTGGGTCTAACTCTGCAGAATATCTTTCCCAATATCCGCCACGATTAGGATCATATTAGAGTACGTAAGAAGGGTTTTGAGGTTTTTGAGTTGTTCATAAGTAACTAAATACCTCTTAATCCAATGGTTACGCAATGCAAGCAGCTACTGAAACATCCCCGTTGCTGTTGTTGGAAAAGTGTTGGTCGGCCCTCCTGTGTGACCTGGCTCTCCGCCCTCCAGCTCCCATAACCTCCTTCCACTCCTCTAAGGAAACATCCAGGCCCCTGAGAGTCTGGCACCTGCCAACCTGCCATCCGTTCTGCCCTGAAATAGACCCTTACTGCCACTTATGCCTGTGTGTGTTCTCTTATCTTGGTATATAGAGCCATGCTGACTGCGGCGCATCTCCCGGCTTCCTGTGGAGGCCCAGACTGAAGCATATTGATCAGTAGGCTGATGCATCACTTTGCAGTACACACACAGTCACACGGAGAAACACACATAGATATGCAAGCAACGGCATGTGTGCATGCTTCTCTGTCTCTGTCTCTCTCTCTTTCTCTGACCATTAGTCAGTTTGTAATTTCAGACAGGCCTCCATTATGAGCTGGAGTCTGCGGCTGCGGCACTGAGATCCGGACGGATCATAAAGCAGCAGGACTGACGATAATCAAAAGGACTGGAAATGCTGAGCAGGGGATGAATGGAAGTAGACAGGCACGGAGAGATAATGCGTTTGGGAATCAACATTCATGAAACAGTCTGGACAGGAAGTCACTCCATCAAACACTTACTATCCCTCACACGCACACTTGTGGGCAACTTAAAGACTAGGGTGTATGCAGGAGGTGCACTTCTCAGAGTGATATGTGGGGACGGGTTATAGGCTAGCTGACGTAGCTCAAAGTACTGTTCAGAGCAGGGGGGAGAGTCAGCGTGTTTGGAATGCCTGCCCAGGAAGATTCTCACCGACCTTTTCCGAATTCCTTCCCCACTTTAAAATAGAACAGAGAAGTACTTTGAGGCTATTGCAGTCTTGGAAGCAGAAAACCATATCTTTAGCTTGTGTGGTAGAGGCATTAATGAAATTGGTTGGTATGTGTATATATATATACATATGTATATATGAATGTGTGGATTGAATTGTAGGATTTATGCTCCCAGTAGCCACGGATCAGACTGGACAGGAAGTGTCTCACTGGTCTCACTGATCCGGCACATTAGCTTTCCTTTTCCTGCACATCGCCACATTTTCTTCTCTTTGCTCTTAGTTCACAGCTGGTGGCCTCACGCTGGGCATTACACTCATCTTACTCAAGTTCTCACCTTCCACCGGTCTAATATAACTGTACAAATCGTTACAAACTTCAGTATTTACACAGACACCTTTGTTATACTCAGATATATTATTTCAATATCACAGCTGCAAGTCGGTGACAGTTCAGTTCTTTCTGTGTTTGCACAGTAGTCGTAAAGTAAATGTGATCCCAGAGCAATTCACACTTTTTGTTTGCCTTCTCAAAGGGTGGTGGTTCCTCAAACAATATTACATATTTCCAGGAGTTGAATAAGACATCCATCCATTCAAACATCAGTTATATTCTCATAGGAAATTTGTATATAAATGTCGAAAACCAAGACATAATTATGAACGAATTTTAAATAACACTCAACCTAATCCTAATCGAATTTTGATATAATTACATTATCATTATATTGCACATATCGATAGTAGGTTTTTCTTTGACTGGATGTCAACACAGTGTTAAACTTGTATCTTGTATCTATTACCTTAAGATTCGATCAATACTCTGGTGTCAAAACATGGGGTTATGGGGTTAAGAATCAAACAAAGCCTGAAATGTTGCTGTTTAACCTTCACGCGTACGCAGAAGGAAAACTTCAGTTGCCAATAAGCTGTGCTAGCTGTCAGCTGCCTTTTCCAAAGCTGAATTCTAACTCCTTGGTATATTCAATACTGCTGAATAAGGACATTTCTATACAGACAGTTATTCAGTCTTCTGTTTACAAACCTGTGACGGACAAAGTGCCGTCTCTCTCTGTTTGGACAATGATTGGTCATGACGTGGTTCATAGACAACAGCTTTTGGCTTGTGGAGTGTTGTGTATAATGTATGTGACACAATTACCCATAATTACTTAACTAATGGATCCATCTTTCAATGCAAGAGTAGATAGAATACAACGAATCCCATTTGCTGCGTGGCGGTGTCCCTCCGCCCCCCTGTGGTCAAGAAGAGCAACTACATCTGTGCGTCGCCTTTGTCCAGATCCGAAGAGCTCCGGTTTCCGGACGGACGGATTTCAGCGTAACACTACATGACATTAAGCAAGGTTGGTGCTTTCATTTTTGTTGTTAAACTATTAACGTATTCATGTATTCTGGCAAAACTACTTGGAATTAATGTGGATCTGTTGATTTAATTGTAAAATATGCTTATAAAAAATCATTAGCTGGTGGTGCTTTTGGTCCGTATGTCGGCCCACCTCCTTTTTGGATCGAGTGAAATGTGTAACGTTAATTGAGGGTAAAGTGAGTGTTTTGTCCCGACATGTGCCCGTCTGCATGCTGCTGCAGGATGGCCCTGTGTGCACTGAGGCGGCGACTGCTGAGGAGCAGCTGTGCAGCCTGGTCCAGGTAGCTGAGTCCATCATGTCCATGACCCAATGTCCCCTCGGGACAGTGATACAAGAACATCAAGTCCACTGAGCTCAACTTTAATCATTTGATCACAAATCACGAACAGGGTCAAGGATTAAACACCAAAATGCATTTCTAAGGTGCTTAGAATTAGATGCCAGTCTATAAAAGTGAGCATTTCTCTGATTCCTGTCATGTAAAGAACAACGGGAGGGAAAGACAGAGGACATTTATGGGGTCAAAACAAACAATATTCCATATTATGTTTATTGTTGCAGCAGTTGCAGCTCCTGTGTAATCTATAACCATCTATAACCATGTGTAAGGGTGATTGACTAGATTTGAATGCACTTTCTAAATGTTGTCTCTCACAGGCTGCTGCAGAGACCAAGCAGCGGTTGTGTGTACTCCAGCGTCCATGGCTTCCACCAGGACGAGATCACGGAGAAGCTGCAGGCCTTTCCTGGAGGCTCCGTTGACCTGCTCCAACAGGAGTCCGGCATCGCCGTGCTCACCATCAACTATCCCTCCCGCATGAATGCCTTCTCGGGTAAGAGGACTATACACTGAACCCTTTATACCTTTTATACTTTACACTATACTTATTTTTCTTTTCACCCCAGGCAGTATGATGGTGGAATTAGAGGAGAGGGTGAGCCAGCTGGAGAGCTGGACGGACGGGAAAGGCGTCATTGTTCGGGGCGCTGATGGCACTTTTTGCTCCGGGTCGGACCTCACTGCGGTCCGAGCGATATCCAACCCACAGGTAGCAGCTTCTTTACAACAGGGCTTCTCAAAACATTTTTCGGGCCAGGGGAGAACCTTTTCCACGGACCTCCTCATCGCCGCAGCACGGATTAACGCTTCCTACCATTACTCTTCGATGCCACTGGAGCTACTACGGTCGCCGGTAAAAGGAGGCCTATTTAAAGGCCCTCGTATCCCGGCTGTTTTGTAGTGCGATGCTGCTTTAGCCCAGCTGGCTTCATGGCCTTGTTCACTCGCACCGGAGGACACATATTCCGGTCCAACTGCTGTTCTCAATAAAACCCAAACTATATAAAACTGTCATCACATTTCCTCTGCTCTTTCCCCGTAGGACGGGATGAAGATGTGCATGTTCATGCAGAATGCTCTCACAAGACTACTCAGGTACTGGGCTCTCTATTTTCCTCGCAACCAAATCCGCAGCAGCCAGTTTGAGATGCAAGGAGTTTGCTTCTGGCTGCTATGAAATGTGCGCCACGGTGTGCTGACAGAACCGTCTCGCCCGTGCAGGTTGCCTCTGATCTCCGTCGCGTTGGTGGAGGGGAGAGCGCTGGGTGGAGGAGCAGAACTCACCACCGCCTGTGATTTCAGGTACATAAGACAATGCCCACGAGGATCTCTTTCACGCTGTCACCTTTCATCCAAAGTTTTTTAAATTTTAAACCATCTGTCATCTCGTAGGTTAATGGCATCTGGCAGTGTGATCCAGTTCGTCCATAAACACATGGGCCTGGTCCCGGGCTGGGGCGGCGCCGCTCGACTTACCCGCATTGTCGGAAGCCGGAACGCCCTGAAGCTGCTCGGCGGTGCTCTGAAAGTAGATCCCGAACTGGGCCTGCAGATCGGACTGGCGGATGGGGTGGTGGAGGCCCCCCAGGCAGCGGAAGGGGGGGCTGGGGTGGTCCTTCAGCAGGCTGAGAACTGGCTCAGTCACTACGCAGGAGGAGCTGCCCCGGTGATCCGGGCTGTGAAGAAGGTGGTGTTGTCGGGCGGAGAGCTGCCGCTGTCAGAGGCGCTGAGGACTGAGAAGGACGTATTTGGGACGGTGTGGGGGGGTCCGGCTAACCTGCAGGCTCTGGCCAGCAAGTCCAAACACAGGTGAGCTGAGAAGAGCTTCTCAGGTCAGCCACGGAGGACAGGTCGAGTCAGACTCTTATTCTGCATCCACCACCTTGAGTTCTTCGATGTGCTGAAGAAAGAAACAATGCTTTCTTGTAGAAAGCTGAACGTGGACTGAGGGAATGTAGAGGTTTCTTCTTCGTTGGTAAGGACTGTAAACTTTCAATAAAGCAGATGGGGCATTGCCTCTGATGCAGTAATAACAGATCTATCTTTGTCACACGATTAAATGGATGTGATTTATCAAGTTTTGGTACTTCTTCATGTGACATCATGCCAACGTATCCACCGGGAATATGCTGCTGAGAAGGTGACTATGGTAATAAAGAGTGCACTGAACCAACAGACAGCAGCAGTTTGATCATGATGAGCTACAACAGGCACGAGTCATCAAGAATCCATTTCTGCGTTTTATTATTCCGCTGCGCTGCTTTAGTCTTTACTTCAGTTTATGTTTGTGTGTCTTTGTGGCCTTCATCATCCTCCTCTCTCCGTTCTACCGGGAGATCGGTACTGTAGGTAAGAGGGATTGTTTGGCTGGTTTTCACTTGTGTGATGACGCTTGTAGAAAGATGCTGAGACACCGGGGTCAGATAATGTACATTCAGCATTTTCCTCGTATGTCTTTGCACCGATTTGCAGCTCATGTTTCCTGTCACACTTATAATGTGCCCACTCTGTAAGTGAGACATTGCAGAAGCGCAAAACTGCCCAAACTGAAATGTGAAGAACAGGACGGGTCCCCGGGGGACACCGGGCCTTTTCACCCCTTTCACCCTGCACAGAGGTCACGGTTCCTGAGCAGAATCCCAAATAAGCTACAAGGTGAGTGAGGGTAGAGAGACGTGGCCTCGTTATGACATCCAGCACATAAACCCTTGTTAATATGGCCCCTAATGAAAGAGAGAGAGCTGCGTTTGATGCTGCGTGTGAGTTATTAACGTGACCAAGCAACTCGGGGTAACCACGGCGACACTGCCTGATTCTGTACTGAGCGCTTTGATACGCGGGTGCTTTATCAGCATCTTATTTGGGATGCTTGGTTAGAAGACTGATGGCAATTGAATATTTCAGACCTGAATCCAGAGGGAAGGATGATTTTACTTTTAGAAAATATCTTACAGTGGTACCATGGAGATATTTGGGGTGAAATCTGTATTACTAGTGGCCCATTGATAGTTAAGTGTTAAATGAGTTTACTAAATATATATTTAAATAAAAACAAGACATGTACCTTGTTACACAGCAAAAAAGGAAGAATTTACTTACAAATATACTTTTTAGGATGATGAAATAAAATTTATTCTTAAGTCACAAACCATGTAAGAAATTTGCAGAGCAAAAAACATAAAAAAAACACATAGTTACATAAACTTTATTCTTTAGAATGAAAAGTCAAAGACTGAGCTGATGATGGCTAAAAAAAAGAAATAAAAAAAACTTGAAAATCTACAGAGTGGCCAATAGCAACTGACTGCCTCTGACATCATACAGCTTGACAACCATAAGAGACATAACACAACATTATTTGTTAAAACAAACTCAAAAATGTACTCTCCTCATCCTGCCGACTTCAAACATGCACGAATCACAAAACATTAGAGACACTCCAATTGAGAACACTTCAGTCAGGGACAGTAAGAATACTTGTGAGGCTACAGGGGCCTCGACAGCTTTAATAATGAAAACACGGATACTTCACATTCAAATTATTTAAAGCTGGAAAAGCCTCAAAATCAATTCAATATGCGCTTCTATATTGCACATTAATTTGTTAACGATAGAGATTTCAGAAGCTGTAGGTTAATTACAATCAGATCAAAGAGCAACCATCAGCAGGGAGCCAGAATATCCTGCAGGCTCTTGAGTTGCAATGTTGTAGCACATAAATTGAGAAGTTAAACATTGCTGACAAGCAAAGTACAAATGTTTCCTTTTCTTTATCTGGATAAACAACCTAAAAAGCTTTTCCTCAAACAATCTGCTCGGAAATGACCCAATTTCCAGACATTAGAAGGAAAGCCTTCATTATCAGTTCAATCCAAAGTAAGACAAAATTGGTTAGGAACTATTTATTATCAACTGTTAAATTCTTTGCATGAGTAGTCGGGTGACTTGAGCTCTAACAAGCCCATTTCTGTGTGCTATGTTAGCTGAGCGAGTTAACGTCTAGATGATTCAAATTCAGCTGGTTCCATTCTCAGGAGTAACGTCCCAATTCATGCTTTTTCCCTCGAATGTCACTGACCTGACTGGACTCCCTCGAGCCCTCTGGGTGGGAGGATAATCAATTTACAGACGAGACTTCCCTGGATAGGCAAGGCAGCAGAGTGGGAAGTCATTTTCACCGTTTAACGTCCATTTCTGTGACATTTTTAAACGACATGATATGCCTTCAACCAAATGAAAAAAAAAAAAAGTGAACAGACTGATGGCAGCTGAGCAGCACAATACGTTTGTGACCTCACATGATTTGCTGGACAGACTATTATGAGACGTCACGGCTCACACCAACATGCAGCATCCATCGGACCAAATAGCAGGCTGTGCCTCCCGCCTCAGTACTAGAACCCTCAACAGTGATTCTACTTATCTATATATATTGGATGAGATTTGAAACAAACCATCCAGATACATCCTGAAATATTGTGAGCAAATTTAGTGGTTTATCTCAAATATGAGAGTAGGTTATGTTTAACTTCTCTTTTTCCGAGCAAATCTACTCATCCGATCCGTGACGGGAGTAAATGACAGCATACAGCGAGGAATAAATTAATGAAATGAAAAATAGCAATTTGTTGATGGAGGCCTTAATGACGACTTCACACTTCAGTCACCGTGCACTGGCCGTCAGGCATTCTGGACCTTCCACTGCTACTGGACGAAGGAGGCGACGCAGACTCCGCGCCAGGAGGGGTTCTGTCCTCTGGAGTCAGTCTTTGCCTCCGTGGCCTATCCTCCCAGGGCTCTACACGCTCGCCATCTCCCCCCTCCTCCTCCTCTTCATCATCATCATCGCTCCAGTCTCCAGAGCCAGACTCGTCCACAGAGGTGTGAGGGTCAGAGGACCTGGAGGGTGAGGCCTCCTCTTCCTCATCTTCTTCCTCCCCTTCCCCAGCATCAGACCGCTCGTGAGAAGGTGTGGGCCTGGGTGTGATTTGCAGTTGGGAGAGAGCATCCTCCACAGTGGGGCTGCCGCTGCTGGCGCCCGGCTGGGCGCCAAGGGAGGTGGGAGGTCTCGTCGGTGCTGCGACAGTAGAGGGTATACCGGTAACCTGCTGCTGTGCACCGGCTACTGTCATATCCGCTCCATCAGCAGAGCTTTCCCGACCTGCTGCCCCAATGGCCCCAGTAACACCCTCCGTGTCCAAACGCAGTCCCGCCACTCCCTTCTTGGGGATATCCAAAACGTCCCTTTTCATCTTGCGCCTACGACCGTGCTCGTTGCGCCTGTATTGCACCATGTTCTCCAAGTCAGCTACATATAAAAACCCAGCAATAAGCATTTCAGCGGTTTTCTTGCCCTTGGAAAAAGCGTCCTCCAGCTCGCGGCTGGTCCGCTCGTCATACTGCCACCAGCCATTACGGCCCTCGTAGTACCAGGCGTGATCACTGGCTGCCCCTCCCCTGCCTCCCGCCGACGCCTTCAGCTCCTCCGGAGAGAGAAGTGTCGGCCTTTCCAGGAAGTCATCCGGTACTTCCTGTCTACAGAGAGCACAGCGTTTGCTCTGCCAGGACGCTCCTTTTACGCACAGGAAACAGAAGACGTGATGGCACGGTAGTTGGACTGGGTGGACGCAGCTCTGCAGACAGATGGCACACTCCGGCACAGACAGGGCTGGGGACGGGTTACTGGAGCCTGAGCATGACGATTCGGCACTGTTCCCACTTCCACCGTTATTGCCTTTCTTACTGGATGGAAGCGAACTGACAGAGTGGTCTACCTCTCCACAGCTAGCCATCCTGAGGAAGTACTGAGGAACGGGGGGAAATGCATATTATAAACTGTAGTTAGATATATCCACTATTTTAATGCGGGTGTCAAGATCACATTTAACTGTCACGGTCACTAAATAGCAAACAATTAGACTATCATCTATGTAAACAAGGCTGATAATTGTTACCTACCGGAAGTGCCTCAACACTGATGTAGCATGAGGAGAGTTGATGGATCCTTAAGCTGGGGAAGCAAAACAAAACGTAGCGTTATTCGTTTTTCAGGCTTTACAGTGTCAACGTCAAACCTCATTTGACAACGGACATCTTATATGATAAAATAAGGTGGACTTTTAACCATACGCTAACAGCCATTAGCATTAGCTACTAATAAGCATTAACGTCAACAACTTAAGCTAGCGCTTGCTAAATTACTGGAGTCTGTGGAACAAAAAGGGTTGCACTGAGAACAGTCTGGAGAAAATAAGTGTCAGCGTGTTGTCATTATATTGGGGCAAACACCATGATTAAGACACCGCTGTTATGAACACGACAGTCGAGTAAAACCCACTGCGAACCATCTAACGTTAATAGAGACACTAACTGGTAACAAGCTACAAGCTAACTAGTTTAGCTAAAGTAAGAGCCAAAAGCAGCAACGAAAGGGAAAGAAGATTGTTGTTAACGTCACAAGTCAAACCGAACACAGGTACTTTCTGGCAAAGGGACCATAACAACACGACCTGTTGTGGCTAACGCTGGTCGGGCTCATGGCAGCATTCTGACTCCAGCAAATAGACGGAGTTCAACTGACGGTGCTAGCTAAACGTTATTTTATGAGGGCGTCAAAAACAGCAATTATTTTGTCACGACAGAGACGATGCGTGCGTACCGTACCGTCAAACGTTGCTGTGGTGTTTCTTTTGCGAAGATACGATTCGTGTAACGCCACTGATTCCAAGCGCTAGCTGGCCGACCTCCAACGTTTAACGGGCTTTGTTTTCCTCCGAAAACGGAGCTGACATAAAGACCACGACGTGAGAATACGCGATGACGCAGCTCGACGTCAAACGCGCGACGCTTATATTCCGCGCATGCCCGTGAGCACCACTTCCTGTTGGCTGGTGACTAGAGGACGTTGGTGTCACAGAGGAGAGCGGCTCAGCAAGCGTCTTTATTTCCCACTTAACTAAGAAAAGAAGCAACAACGACGAAATGTTTGTCCGTGCCGTGAGACCCACCGTGAGCCTGGCGCGAAGCCTCTCCACCTCTTCGCAGAACAACGCCAAGGTGGCGGTGCTCGGCGCGTCGGGCGGCATAGGCCAGCCGCTCTCCCTGCTCCTCAAGAACAGCCCCTTGGTGAGTCAACTGTCTCTGTACGATATCGCCCACACCCCCGGCGTGGCCGCTGACCTCAGCCACATCGAGACCAGGGCCCAGGTGACCGGCCACATGGGTCCGGGTGAGCTGGACGCTGCTCTGCAGGGCTGCGACGTGGTGGTCATCCCGGCCGGCGTGCCCAGAAAACCCGGCATGACCCGCGACGATCTCTTCAACACCAACGCCACGATCGTTGCCACCTTGGCCGACGCCTGCGCCCGCAACTGCCCCGAGGCGATGATCTGCGTCATCGCCAACCCGGTCAATTCCACCATACCCATCACGTCAGAGGTCATGAAGAAGTATGGCGTTTACAACCCCAACAAAGTTTTTGGTGTCACCACCCTGGACATTGTCAGAGCGAACGCCTTCGTGGCCGAGCTCAAAGGTCTCGACCCGGCTCGCGTCAATGTGCCGGTCATTGGAGGTCATGCCGGGAAGACCATCATTCCCCTGATTTCCCAGTGCACACCGAAAGTGGAGTTCCCCGCTGACCAGTTGGCTGCCCTGACAGGCAGGATCCAGGAGGCCGGCACCGAGGTGGTTAAGGCCAAGGCCGGCGCTGGATCCGCTACCCTCTCCATGGCCTACGCTGGGGCCCGGTTCACCTTCTCCGTCCTGGACGCCATAAACGGAAAGGAGGGTGTGGTGGAATGCGGGTATGTCCGATCAGAGGAGACGGAGTGCAAGTACTTCTCCACCCCTCTTCTCCTGGGGAAGAACGGCATCGAGAAGAACCTGGGATTGGGCAAGCTGACTGCTTTCGAGGAGAAGCTGGTGGCCGATTGCATTACCGAGCTGAAGTCTTCCATCAAGAAGGGAGAGGATTTCGTGGCTAATATGAAGTGAACGGGGAGGCGTTAAGTCGGTTGAGAAAGAAAAGCTTTTGTGAATGGTAGTTTGTTTTGTCTCAACTTTAACAGCATCTGTCAGGATTTCCCCTTTTGTTTAACCATTGGGGTCATTTTGATGAAGAAATCCTGGTTTTAACCAAGGTCCTAAAGTATCATCCCCAATATGTTTTCAAACATTGCTTTATCTTGCACTATAATTACTGTACTGTGACTTAGATATATTTTTTGCGAATGTCAAAGTTGGACAGAATTTCATATATTTTCATGTAAAGTCTGTATTAACGGGATTTCTCTGCTTAATGACTGAGGAGGAAATACTATTACCATGCCTGTTGATGCTATCAGATGTTAATGATGAGCAAAATATTCACTCCACCAATAAACAGTCTAGCTTTAAATAAAGCAACTTGTTTCTTTTTATTTTACAAAAGAATTTGGCTTGTAACTGTACAACAAAACACTGACTGAATCCTAATTACTTTTTTTAATTAAGCTAATAGTTATCACCCCTCATTTAAATTGGTCATTCAAACTACTGTTGTAGTTGAGGAACGTTTGCGCTACAATTGGTTATATTTACTGTGCTGAAAAATAATTGAGGAGACAAAACGCAATCTACTCTTAATTTTTGACTTTCATGATGACTGCAGGTATCACTACTAATTTAGCAGGTGGTAATTTGTCACGTTTCTGTTGAACAACTTCTAGTTGGTGTATTCTAATTAAGGAAACAGCCCACGGCGACGAGAAAGCAGACACAGGTACAAACCCATTATAGTTTTATTTGACATACAGGTGCTTTTTGGTTCTTAACCGAGGGGCTTAACGGAAAGCACAGTTTTCATTTACACAAAAGAAAAACCAATGTTGGATAAGATTCCTCACGTATCTAGATAAATCTTTTTTGACCAAGACAGAACACTTGTTTTCAGTCTGTGACCACGCTGGTTTGATTCACTGCAGGTTCTCCCACATCTGTGGCAGTGATTTTGAAGATGTCAACAAATGGCAGTAACAAACTCACTTTTTATTTTTTTTCTTTACAAATTCTGCACCAAATAAAATAAAGCAAAGAGCTCTAATGAAACGGGAACAACAATAATAAACAATTGTTCTACATAATGTTGCAAAATCTACATTCAAAAAACCAAGATGCGCGACGTTGTTCCAGGGCCCCCTTTAAATATCCGTATCAACAAGCGCGTCGTACAAAGTCTTTGCTGCTCTTTCCGTCTGCACGACTCCACACAGGCGCTCCTCTCTTTGTTCTTCAGTACCGACAGCAGAGCCGCTCTCTCAGTGGTGGAAGTGAAGCGGGAGAAGCTACAGGGTAGAATAAAAAAAAAACAACCCACAACTACTCTTTGTAAGTCCATAGTGGCCCGAGCCTTTTGGCTGCACGTGCCCTGTCCCGCTTGTGCATAAACATTTTATTCAAATCATACAGGTAGCAGCAACACCCCTGCAGAGAGGGGTCGAGGAGGGTGAACAGTGGGTGACGATGGGAGGGAGGAGGGGAGGGGGGGGGTTTAGGAGAGAAGGAAGAATGGGAGGGAAACAGGTCGGCGATCGTACAGGTCTGTCCGAGGCCCTACTGCACCAGGCTGTCTTCGGGGGAGGCCGGGTCTGTGTCGTGGCCTCTGCGATGTCTGTGCTCAGTTTTGTTCCTGTTATCCAAGTCTTCGCGTTCACCTGTGTCTCTCTCCCTCTCTTGCTCCCTTTCTCTCTTCCTCTCCCGTCGCCCCTCTTGGTTCTCCTTATCTTTGCGGTTGTTGCGATTCCTCCGCTCCCTCCGCTCATTCTTCTTCCGTCCTCCTGGGAGTTAAGAGAATTACATAACAAGGATTAGTAAAGCAGGGCAAAGGGGGCAGGCGTGTCACACCCACTTGCATGTCAAGAATCTTTAATTATTATGCGTTTCTGACTAAGAAGTCCGTATTCAGTCTGTAATACGTTGTACGTATGTCATATTTCAGCTTGGGAGACTGAAACATAAACATTCCAAGATGAATTCTTACAGTATTTCGCCCTGGCTAAATAGATTAAAGCAGCTGTAGATTCTAGTTGCTGGGGGTCATAGCCTTAAAGAACTGAATGCATCAGAGGAACCCTGCGTATCACGATGCTCTGTGTTCACCACTAGATGCCAGTCTTTACCCACGGACACCCGCCCTCTCCCTCCCTGTGATGAACAGAGCGTTGTCCAAAATAGAAAACCTTTTAAAAAAAAGCCCCCAATTTATCTGTTCTTGCAACATCATCTCATAAACAAAACCAAGTTTTGGAATGCTTAAGGTTTATCTCTCCTCGGGCTACAGTTATTAATGATAATAACAAGATCCACCCCCAGGGAGGTTGGAGACGGGACCTGCAAGTGAAATCAGAGGAGGCCCTTTCCTGTTTTTCTACTGCTGCTGTTCATGTGTGAGTGGAACGGAGCAGCACGGCCTGCTTGCACCGGGTGGCTGGCTAGTCGGGGATTGTGAAACTGCTGAAGTCGGCAGTAGGCACAGACAGAGGGAGAGAGAGAGAGATAAAGGGAGGGGGAGAAAGCGATCTCTCTGTCTCTCTCCCGTTTAACCCCCCCCCCCGCCACCCCCCTACGTTCATCCTCTCCCTCCCTCTATTTTCATTAATCAAGGGAGGGCTCTGGTTGGGCCATGAGGCCTTGTCTGACCCACGCATTCTAGGCTAAATTCATTTGCCCTCTACCTGCCCACTGTGTTTAATCAGGATCTATGTAGAAAGAGGACGCGGGGACACGGGGTCATGGGGTGGACTCGTGCGTGGGATAACATGCTCAAAGACAGTATGGATGCACAGTATTCACATGGTTTATCTGCTGCAAAGTTACTGAAAAGTTATACAAAATAGTGGAATCGGTGGCTGGATGGAGTAATCTGGCGCATTGACGCATTCGGGGTCGCCCCCCCATCCTATCAACCCAGGAAGTCCCCTTTGCTCTCATTGTTTTCTCTGTCCAGACACCATTTACCAGTATTTACGCGTTGGGTGGATTAGTCATACTGTAGCCCCCGTGCCTTTGTCGAGCCAGTGGAGAAACCTAATCCATGTCAGTGTTGAGATGATTAGGAGAGTGTTTATCAAACCACCCACCGGCCTTTGGTTAGTTGGAACTGGTTCTGATGGGCCTTTTGTAAACTGTTTAAGGACATGTGTGTAATGATACCCAAATGAGACACCTTAGGAGTTTTTTGGACATCAAGCACCTTCCTGAGCCGACCTTTAATGGATAATGTTTGACTGGAAGTCTTTGTTATATGTTGGCGTTGGGGAGGATCTTTGTTTTTCTTAATTAAAAGCAGAGGATATTAGTCTGGTTTGGCCGAGACAAGTACGATATGTTGTAAGGATGGAAAAGTGCTGCACATAAATTAATAAAATGACATTGTTTTAACAACAGCTCCTGTTGGTAAAGTGGTTTTGGGGGAATAAATGTGCGCTCCAAATGGTCAGGAATCGTAATTTTCAGGCAAATGATTTAAATTAGTTACTTATCACTTGCACTTGTGGACAGTTGGTATTTTATGATATTGCATTTGTAAAATCTGTATATAATGCAGTAAAAGGGAAATAATACAACAATGACTTGAATGTCTCCACTGGTTGTCAGCCGCTAACTACAGCAAGCAACCTGTAATTCCACAGTATGTTTCTGTTTGTGTGTAGAATAAGCAACATGTAGCACAATGGGTTAATTAGAGCTCCAGCAGTGTTGCCAGGTGGGTTTTTAAACTTCCCTCGATTCATATTTTTTGTGCTAAATTAAGCCCTCGGTCCACTGGCTCTAGCTCAGTACTTTACAGACGAGTGTGAGAATCTATCGTTTTATCTAAATGTTGTAAGATTGCAAATAAACATGCCTCCCAAAATGTAAAACTACTCCTTTTAATGTGGTTTCCTTTGCTGTAATCGCTGAAACTCTAAAGCTACCAAAACACGTATTTGAGTCCAAGCCCTTGAAGCACTTTATGTTTTGTTGTGTGGCAAAAGCTCATAAAAGTGAGTACAAATAAACAACACAAATAATGGTGTAATATCTGAGAGTACTTGTAAATCTCTGTGGTCACTCATGTACACACGCTCCACTTAAGATGTTGTCATGTGTAGCACGACTAGATGCTCTACAGAAGATGTATTGGGACTAACACACTACAAATATTGACATTCATTTTTAAATTATGCTGAATCTGGATCCGATTAAAGGATGGTCAGGAATGTCTCTTGGGTTCCACATGTGATAATATATTTGCATAAAAACACTTGCTACGATGTCCAGCTAATTCTTTCAGTGGTATTTATTAGACTCAAAAAAATGGGAGCGAGGGGCACTGAGGGTGTGTGTGTGTGTGTGTGTGTGTGTGGTTGGAGGAGCATTGTGTGTTTTATGGTGGGACATCCTCCATGGCAGGCGCTCTGTCGTCCGGGGAGCTTTTGGCGGGAGCCAGGCTGGGATTAAAGGCTATGAGCTGTCCCACAAGTGGAATGCCGGCCGCATGGCCGCCAGGATGTCATGAGAGGGGTTCTGAGGGTGTGTGTGTGTGTCTGTGTGTGTGTATCAGTTGTTGCCCCCCTGCCCCTCATTGACTGGCTTGTATAATAGCGAGGTCTGTGTGTATGAGTTATTAAAAGAGGCTAATGTCTCAGTCTGTCTTGCCACAGAGATAGCGAGGTGAACAGCGGGTCGATCGAAGGACAAATTAGCCGGCGTTCACTTCAGAGAGGCCGCGGCGGATGAGCATGTGTGTCTAAACACTCACAATCTCCAGCTGCAGATAACGGGGCACAGAGACAGAGTTTCTCTGACTCTCAGCCAGAATATGTAACTGTTTCCTACAGTTACAACGTTTTTGACGTGATATCTATAAATAAAACATTGTTTGGGGGGTGGGTAATCTGTGGGTAAACAGCATCAAATGGATAGTTTTATTTTGTAGTGTTTCTACAGATCAGCATCTTCTTTCAAGAATTGTATGAGAAGATCGATGCCGCTCTCCTACGTGTGCATTGAATATGAAACTGGAGCCAGAAGAGGATTAAGGGCTCTGTGAGAAGAGACATCACCCTCCTTGATGATGGATTCATCCAACAAGGTTAGTTATTCAGCTCCCGTGCTGCTCTTTACAGGAAGGCGTGCTGTTTCCCTATGCTTTAAGGTTTGATGCTAAGCTACGCTAATCGGCTGCTTCCTCAAGCTCCATATTTAACGTTCATGATGGTGTATCGATTTTCTCATCTTAGTCGTATTCCCCCGAAAAGTCAAAGTGAACTTCCTTGACAAATGGTGAAAGATGATGAAATGAGCAAAGGCTCGCACGCAGGAGTAAAATGATGTGGCAAGGAGCAGCACGGGATGAGCAGAGGCAGTGCAGAGAGGAGGGGGGGGCAAAACGAGGAGGAAGGAGGAGGATGTATCAGTGTCTGAGGGCTGCTGGCGGATTACTGGGGGCTCTTTGAGGTCGGACCACTGACCCCCTAGCGTGTGCGGAACGTAAACGGCGAGGAAGGGGATGCTCCAGAACAAAATAATCAGCTCTCTTTCCCCGCACATGCTCAACTGGGTGATCACAAGCAGGGGGCAACATCGATAAACTATCAGACAACTTTCTTTCTTTATTCAATAACCTCCCTCCCCTCTGAGCCCCCTTCCCTCACCAGGCTCAAGCTAGATCAACAGAGCCGTCGACTCCGCACTAAAGTCTCGGCCCCGACCCGACTGACTGGGAGCGCCAACAGGGAGCTTATATGGGGTTCTGTGTTGTCTTTGGTGTGGTGGCGAGCTTGCGTGTGTGCGTGTGTGTGTGTTTGTGTGTGTGTGTGTGCGTGTGTGTGTCTGTGTGTGGAGGGAACGGGGGATTGGATCACTGCAGGGCTACAGATAAAAAGTGAGGGATAGCGGAGGGGGGGGGGGGGGCAGAGGGCACATTTCACAGTCTGCCTTACAAATCACGTCGGGCCTGTTGACTCTCTTCACAAATTACCACCAAGAGCAACGGCTGTGTAGTTATTTCTGTTAGAAAACGATGGTATGCCCGTGCGTGCGTGTGTGTGTGTGTGTTTGGTGGGCACAAGCAAGTGTGCGAATTTGTGCGTTTGTCTGAGAGAGAGGGTGTATCTGTATCACAGCTTGTGTGTGCATGCAGGTTTTTTTTGCATGCATGTGTGTGGTGTGTCTATTGACAGCTGTGAGGATAAACCTGATCCCCTGGTCGCCGCGTGCCTCCCAGGGGGAGGATGTTGATGTTGAGCTGGCTGTTTTTGCTCCAGAGTCAACTGCTTTTCTGCTGCATCACACACCCAGACACACACATGCACAGAAACACACACACATGGATACAAATACACAGTGTTTGTTCTGTAAGTGTGAGGCCCCAGGGGGCTGGATCTCAGCCTCCTAGCCTGGCTGCGATCTGTCATTTAACACTACAGAGGCTGGGCGACCATCTCAGTAACAACACACACACACAGTTTATACATAACATGAAGCGGTTGTAAAGTGGGTTTTACAAATAGACGAGCCCGTCTGAAAGCAGTTTTTAACACTCTTCATTTGATCGTTTTCCCCTGTTTACAACAAACAGAAGAAGCGTTTTTTCTCCTTTTGGAAAAGTCCAAAGAGGTCTCGTGGGAAAACACACAACCTACCCATTGCAACATCACACATGTGTGTGTATATGTGTGTGTGTGTCCCCCTGCCCCCCCAACTGTCCTCGCTCTAACTACAATGACAATCCTCTGAGTAAACAGCCGTAGTCCTGAGCGGAAGACCCACTCGCTTTGATTGCACAAGCTGAAGCAGCAGGGTCTGGAATCCATAGAGACCGTGTCGTGTGTCACAAACACACTGACGGCAGCGAGTGTCATTGGTCGACAGCAACCGCAACGGACAATGACTTGAATGTGGCCACTTGAAAACAAATCAATTCTGATTTATTATCAACTATTGTTGTCTTTACCTGGACATTTCCTCCTCTTGACCAGGCACTCTTTGAACTCTGACACCTCGGCGCAGGGGTTGCCAAAGGGCGACGGGTGCTGGAGTACCTGCCGCGTGCGGGTCTCCTGGCCCCGCTTGAACCCACAGGTTCTCCCGGACCGAGAGCAGGGGCTCCACTCGCTCCACTCACCCACGTCGCAGTGCACTGACGGAGGGGGAAAAGAGGGAGACGGGGGAAGTGAGGGTGAGCAGTTTTTTTTTTTTTTTTTGCCATCATGCTGGTCTTCTTTACGCCGCGCTGGACTGACCTTGTGGTGTGCACTCCATGAGTTTGTCACTGGGCTCGTAGTCCTCCGGACAGACGTGGTGGCACCTCCCACCGAGCTGGTACAGGCCCGGCCGGCACCGCGCACATGTCTCACTGTTCACACATGCCTCGCACTCTGCAGGGCACCCTGCAGAGATGAAAAAAGCGCAGTTATGTATCTCTGAATAGAGCGGCCAGATTTAACATCGCAACATGCTTCACGAGTGCTCCATTCCAGAGTCAGAACAGTATGTGTTGTGAATACGAGGCAATTAGAGTCGAATAAAAGGGGCAAAACTTTGCATTGAATCCCTGTTCTTGAATAGTGTGAGCTCTAAACACTCACCGGGTACACACTCCCTCTGCGTGTCGCTGCGGACCAGCCCCTCGGGGCAGTTCTCCTGGCACTTGCCAAGGTGAAGGTAGAATCCTGCTCGGCAGCGTGTGCAGAAGTTCTTGTTGAAGCAGGAGTCGCACTCCGACCTGCACTCTGAAAACCAGACCCACCGCCGGCGTTTATTTAAACTGTACAAGTTATCGTGTGTGTCCTGCTTGTTAAATATACAGGGTGTCAGTCTGTGTGTGTGTGTGTGTGTGTGTGTGTGTGTAGGTCTCACTGGGAATACATTTCAGAAATATAGGCCACTGCTGTACGATGGATTTATGGTTTTAAGTAAAGTAACACTAAAAGGAAACACACTTAAGTATCAAGTTCTTTAAGTTCTCACTGTATTTAAAAGTTCTGCCATGTTTCACAAGCAGGAAAAGAAACCTTTTCTTGAAAAAGGGGGAGGACATGTATTTTTGACTATGTCAAAACACCCCGTTAAGATGAAAAACTTACTCAGGATAAAGCCAAGATACTTTTCTGTGTTCTTGTCACATGAGAGGATTATAATGAATACATAAGTCCATCCATTCGGGGGATAGTAATGGCACAAAAACCTGGCTGCTACGAATGCAGTTAGCTAATAATCGGGGCTTACTCGTGCAGGTGTTTCTTTCCGGGGAGCGTGTGCCATAAAATCCCAGAGGGCAGGAAGTCATGCACACCCCAATCTGCTTCATCCCGATCCGCTCCAAATGCATGAAGAAGCGCGGCTTGCAGGACAGGCAGCCATTGTAGTCGGAGCAGGTCAGACAGCCACCCTGCTGGCATCCTGAGCTCACACCAGAGATCTCTGTTGACGGGAGCAGTGGAGGGTTAAGTCAAGTATGAATTTCACATCACATAATACAACTGTTAGGGTGTATTAAAGAATGAAAGTTGAATTTATCTGAGTGAAAAGAAATAGGTACCTCTTTTTTTAGGCAAAGTACCTAATTCAGTCTAACAAGTCTCGTTTTAAATCCACGACAATAAGCAGTAAAATAAAACTAACTGTGCTACCGATCACAGCAGCGACTTCCATCACATGTACCTGAAACTGCTTGAAGAACAAAGGTCATCCTATTGACGGCTACCATATATATATAAACATCATTTGTAAAGAAGACAATGGAAAATCTAATATTTGCTTTTTTAAAAGTTTTATTCTTTGATGCAATTATCAAGATTAGACTGTTAACATATACAAAGATCAATCCAGATTTTTATGAGGGTTTCTACATTTAAAAACCACCCTATCCTCCGGCACCACTGTGAATGATTATATATATATATATATATATATATATATATATATATATATATATATATATATATATATATAGCACTGTGGTATGGTATGTATCACGTGGCATAACCAGTTTCAGCAACAACAACAATCCATAACAATATTTTTTAACCATTTGTTGACATTTGATTTATTGTTTTATGTATTGAAATATTTTATCTAAATATTGTCATTTGTGTTATGAAAGTTCTTTAGGCATAAGTCTTTAATTCCGGTATCAGAGGAATAATCACCCTCAGCACACTGCCAGTGACTGCTGTTTATACTTGTTCACAACCCTGTTTATGTATATGAGTACTGTAGTGTTTAGTTCTTGTTGATACATTTTATCGTGCGGTTTTCTTCCCCCACTTTTCCCTTTTTGTGTGATGATCCACCAGACTTTGTCTGCCCTGCATGGAGGCTCTGGATGAAGGTTTTAATCATTTTAATTGTATGTTGACCTGATCAGTTACAGCATTTTTATTAAAAAATGTCTTCAGAAGATAAAAATGTAAAGCTTAAACTCTTAAAGAAATACACTCAGGTGATTTCTTACAGTCGGTTTCCTGGAAACGGTTGTATATCATCGTTTTCGGTGTCTGAATGCATTTAGTTGACAAAAACCATCACCAAGAGGGTTTGGGAGTCGGATGGGGATGTGTACACACTTAACAAGTACCATGATGTTTGTCGGTTCAGACAGGATGTTTTTAGCTCCTGGTCCCGATGTTTTAGTAACAGTAGTTAGTAAGGAAATAAGTTTCAATCTTTCCTCTTTTAGGATTACCGAACGTTAAATCCAGAAGGTTGTACAGGGCTTTAGATATTGAGGCAGTCAGCTCATAGACAAGCAATTTACAGCCTTTACCTAAATACACACTGTAGCTGTGACATCGAGTCGATAAGTAGGCAATAGACATGAAAGTTCCAGCTCCCATGGGGCATTGTTACTCCATTCTCAAATGCACTCTTTGAAAATTGTTGCGGTAGTCCCACATGGTAGGGAAATAGAAAGCAATCCCTGTAAGCATCCAGGGAATTGGTTTCCCTCTTCTGGCTTGGCACCTCATGCCACTACTTTAAGCTGGCCCTTTTTTGGCTGACAGGTCACCATAGATCATGGATGCTTTGTTTGAAATATCTCGACAATCTTTACAACTGCTGTCCATTTGCCCCCATATGTTCCTGCCAAGATGCCCTGATTCACAGAAGTCTTAAGACACAGGAATTTGGCCTTGCCCTCACACTTGCACCAACAAAACCTCAGTTGGACTTGCATAGTATACCAACAAAGTCACATACGTATAAACACATTCATATGCCTGCACACACGCAAACACAGATGGAGAAGATGTGTAACTGTGCAACTAAATCGTAGTAACGGGAAAAATTTCCCAGAAGTATTGGATGACTACCTCTTTATAGGATTCCACCGTTTTATAATCCTACCTTTAACTTAAATCAGGATATTAATCATTCCATCTCTATCATGGACTGAACCGGACGATAGTAAACGCGGTTCCTGCTGTTAACACCCAGGGACACACACGTCTTCCCTTTTGGAAGCACGATCGCAGGCCGGAATCTTGGAGCTCGGCTTCAGTATCTGCATCGTAATTGTGACTAGTTGACTTAATGGTCATTGACTTCCATCTCAGTCTTCCCTCCTCCTATCACTCTGAAGTGTGAACTCATGCACCCTTCACCAACTAATCCTTTCATCCTTCCTGATAACTCGGCAAGTGTCAGCTATCTGCATTCTTGGCTGAAGTTTGGATTTTCGGAAGCACATGTCAATTAATGGGTTCTCAGTCACTCTGAAGAGGCAGGAGTTTCCCATTGAACTATACTTTATTTATGAATTAATGCTTTGGTGCTGACGTCCAACGACGGAATTACATCATAGCTGAGAATGGGCCTGTGGTGTTTGGTAAGATGTTTTTATCTTCTTCAACCCGTAAAATATGATTTCACCATCTCATTTGAACAAAAACTAACCACTCATTTCAAACATGCAGTAGTAATTTCCTTGAAATTCCATTGCTGACTTTTCAGTCTCATAACTTAAGAAACTAAAGTACTCTCACAGACCCACCTGCCCCCCTCTCTTACACTGTGTTGAGAGGCTCATTAAAATTGTTTAGAGGGAAATAAACATATAAAAGGGGGCGTCTGAGTCTCTACAACATATATTTTACATTAACACAGCCGAAACATCTGAGAATAATCAATGTGTTAATACAGTGGGAAATCTCCCTTGTTCTTTGTTGTAAAACGTCTCTCTGGGGTCTTTTAAGGTGTCTGTTTGCTGCATTTTCAATAAGATCCATATTGGCTGTTTCCCTCTGATGAACACCAACCAAACTCAACTCTTCAGTTCTGACCTAAACTACATTGAACAGATCTGCCAAGAGCAGCTAACCGCAGGACCCCTTTCAAACTATGTAATAAACACACAGTTAACCCCGGATGCTGCAAGTTCTTGTTTTATATTTCCACATTGGTGGTCGCAAGGCAAGAAATTACACACAAAAAAAAAACGGTTCTGTTCCAGACAACAAATACGAGCTTTGTGGTTAAATGTTAAGAGTTTCAGCCCCAGGTGGCCGAGATAAAAACATCACTTTAAGAGGTGATTGTATATCACGGACAGTTTTCAGCCACGCTGGCAAGCAAATATTCCGATTGTCAATGCTCTTCTCTAACAGTTTTAGTTACAGAGCACATCTGGAGACCATTAACAATAAAGTGAGTGTAGGAAAAGTAGAAAAATATACTCTATTAATACACATTTCAGCGAGTGATGGAAATTGGCTGGCTATAGCTCAAGAGAGGAGACATTAAGTTGGACCTTGCATGGGAGATATAGGGGAGATAAAATACCTTCAGGCCCTTGTTTTCAGAACAGAACATCGCTGGTGGTTTTAAGGAGCCTGTCCCGTCCAATTTGCATTAACTTAAAAACAGTAGTAAGAGGAAAATTGGACACGATCTGAACGTCAGAACGGCACCTAACGAATGAAGAAATGTTGCAGCGTGAGGGGGGATTCGCTGAATATGGAGGTCACTCTCTGCAGCCCTGAGCATCCACCCGATCGGTGTCCGGCCGGAACACTTGGTGCATGAGATCTGCTGCTCCGGCCGCTAGAGAGCGACGGGAACCAGGAGACACGTGCAGAGAGCAGCCGCTGCAGGCGTCAGGTGACGGCCAGAGATTCATTCATCAAACGGAGGCTCAGAGGAAACGGTGAACTTGGAGTAAATATGGTGATATCAAAGTACAACCAAAGAGCCCGCAGGCAAGAGTTTGCGTTTCCGTTTTATGTCAGCAACGTAATATGGTGAAGTACTCAAAAACCACGATGGAGATATGAAGGGTTAACGGTGCAAATTGTTATTTCTTAATAATACCGAGTTGATTAAAACACGATAAACAATAATAACCACGAAGATCGAATCACACTTAAAATCCGCCGAGATCTTAAATTACGTACTGACTTTCAAGGAAAAAGTTTTTCTGCCGCGAGGCATCAATTTAAATATTAAGAATAAACAGGATATTTAATTCACCGTTTTTTGTTGGCAAAATACGCAGAACGTCTACGGGAGACCGTTGTGATTTGACGTATCTTTGAATAAAAGAGGCCAATGAATGCAGTAAAATAATATAGAACATTAAAAAGAATGCTTCGTACGCGCGCATAGGGAGCGCGCTTTGACCTATACTCACGTTTATGTTGCCGGTTCCTGGGACTGCTGTGCTGCTGACAACCAGTGTTATCCATGCCATGCAAGATGATCAAAACAAAGGAGATCAGTTGTAATTGCATAGTAGCCCAGAGGTGAGACTCGTAAAGCCAATGTCAATGTTCACCAAGTAACTTATGGAGTAGGATTCCGTTTTCCTTCCCAAAGACGGTAGCAGAGTGCGCCGGGTAGGTAATTCCTAGACACAGCAGGACCCCCAACTATGTGGTGATATGTGGTGATGGTAGTGTACGGTGGCCCAATCATGCCTGGGCCGCTTAGACTGAAACATCCTGGATGGGATCTTCATATGTGCCAAGAAAGCGAGAGTGAGTCAAGGATTTGCTATCCGAGCTGTGATAAAGAACATCCCTTGGTAAAAAAAAAGACACCCCAAAAAGCTCGATTCTCATCCGATGTGCGCAAGAGGAAAGGAAAGTCACGCATCAAACGTAGGTCAAGAAAGCGAACTAAATTATAACTTATAATGAACTAAAAAAAAAGTTTTGAGATAACATATCCATGTGCAGAACTCCAAATTGACCTTCCTCCCCCTCCCAACGTCTCTCTCAAGTGGAGATGCGCCGTGCGTCCCGGTGTGTGCGCGGACACCCTAATGCACCAGGCGCGGCGAGGGTCTCTGCTTCATCTCAGCATCCGCTAGCGCGCACACAAGAGTGAAAACCATCACAGCACCAACACTGGTATTAGAAGGAAAGCTCTAAGTGGAAGTCGCGTTGTTCTTTTGGCCGTCGAGAACACACCTTCTCTCCCTCGCTGTCCGCAGCTTCAGCGCTTTTCTGCTTTGCGTGCAGGACCCATTCACTCCCCTGCTGCCGGCCGGCGGATGACTTCAGCCCTCCGCTGTCTCTCTCTCTCTCTCTCTCTCTCTCTCTCTCTCTCTCTCTCTCTCTCTCTCCTATAAGCTCCAAAGTTTATTTAGAGGGCAAGCACCCCCCCGCGTCAGAGGGGCGGGGGGTTTATAAGGGATCTGCCTCGGAGACAGAATAACTTGAGTTTGGTCAGGTTTTGGGAATGTGAAAAGGATAACTAATTCACTCACCTGCTATACCTGCTAACTGGCACTTGTATTTTTTTGTTTCATAACATTCTTTTCCCCAGATAGTCTTTTTTTTCGTCACACAAGTTAATTGAATTTTAATTAACAAAGTCCTTCAAAAAGATTTTCGTTTTAGTTACACGCATTCTGGTCACCTTTCATAGTACATCAGTGCAGAATGAGAAAAAGACTGCAGGTGTCAGGGATGAGGGTGGAGGCAGGACTCAAACGCAGAGTTCAAAACAAAAGGGACTTTAATAGTCAAAGGTCAAAAAATCAAAAGGCCAAGGGGCAAAAACACACAGGCATGAACTATGGACATCCAAGACCAAAGACAAGGACATGCGTGGCAAATGACAATGACGCGACAAGTGACACAGGAGACACATGGCTTAAATACACAAGGGAGGTGCAGGTGATTGGACACAGGTGGAAACTATTAGACGATCACAGGGGACGACGGGACAAGGCAGGAAGTGAAGTTACCCGGGGACACGAGTGGCAGAAAACTACAAAATACAACAGGAAGTGAAACCACACCGTGACAGCAGGTGTCGTGACATGTAACACGCCGTATTTCGTCTTCTACGTTTGACTTTCTTCTGCAAAGTTAGTTTTCCAGTAGAGAAGTGACTCAGGGTTGTTCATTACCCTGACTGAGACTATGATGTATCCACAATGTGATATAAGCACTTTACACATTTATTCAAATTTTAGAAATGCACCTAAAGAAGCAGCAGCATCTCGCCGTATTGCCTCTAGAGGGAGTTAAATCCATAACAGCTCTTTGTCATAACAGACCAGCATCAGTGTCAGTGAGTTATGGTAAACTGTGGCACTTGACCTTTCCCTGCTGTGGCCGAATGATGTCGTTTGTATTGTAAGCACGACCAAAGGAAATACAATCTACAAACAATGTACAATACTTATCGTATATTTCCTTTGGTAGGTGCATTCAGGACTTGTTTTCCTTCTAAGGTATTTAATCCCATGGATAATACATCCCCATCATCAATCGCAGTTGCAGATTATAGATTGGAATTTTTCATGATAATTAGTTAGAAATGTTGCTGTATACATCCACGTTTGGTGAATTGCGGCCTGTGGATATTGGAGCAGAGCAGTTTAAAGGGGGGGTTGAAGCCTCATTTGTCTAACTGGAGTGTTGATGTTTAACGGGGAGCAGTATGCACAAGTCCGATGCTTCTCCTCGCTGTGGCTTCTGGTCTTTCATCAGTCACTGTGCTAAGGAACGCACCGCAAACACAGTGGGGGCTCTTTCTTTATGGGAATACTTCCTTGTTTGCGCTGCACTAGCTCAGGACCAGCACAGTGAGACACTGACGAGACTGTCTTGAATCCTTTCGCCTTCATTGAGGCCGACTGCTGAATCTAAGCTTTGAGATTAAGTTAGCATGGCATTTAATTATGTTAAAATAAAATCTTCTTTAATTTTTCAATGATCCATATTTGAACCAAATCACAGATTATATCAGGCAATGACATTTCATATCAAATATAATAATTGATACATTTAATTGTTTTTTCAAAAAGAGGAAAATTGGTCAAATATAAAGATGAAATTATGAAATCTCCCTCCTCTCAGTCCCAGCAGCTTGGCGCAATGGATGTCAAAGAATAATGCTGGTCTTTGTATCCCAGTCTGAACTAGCCCCACCATCCCTTGGGGGTAGGAATATGTGTGTGTGTGTGTGTTTTGTGCGTGTTGGTGTGTGTGTATATGTATGTGGCATTGGGGTGCGCAAGGTTAAGGTCACTTGGTCAGTCCCTGTGACCGTCCAGTGAGAGAATCAGTCGGCACCTGCAAATGAAGTCGGGCAGGTGCATAAACCCTGCCGACCAAGGATGGATGCACACTACAACTTTTTTTAAATACCACGTTTATTCCTATTTTAGCCCATCTCTTCATTAGGCCTTGAGGTAAGCGAGGAGCAAAGAGTGCATGGCAGCATCCTTTCTGACATACATTTTGGCCAACCAGTTAAACCTCTACGTATTCTGAAAACTGAAGGACTTTTTGACTCTTTAGTTAATAAATGTTCCCATTTGTCCGTCTCGCTATTGGTTCTAGGTAGGTGGTGCTGTAGCACAGTGACCGTTTTCATATTACTGGCTCCATTTTGTTCAACATGTTTCTGTATAATAAGTAAGAGTAATAGCTAATAATAGTGAAACCTTTTTTAATGATATGCCGTGTGTATCACTTCTCATTCCCCAGTACAGGCTACAATCAGATGTTACAGTCATAGGCTAATAAGCAGTCCACTCTCTAATATTCACATGACATTGCGCTAATCCATTTACGCTCTTAATCCTCAGACGCATGAAAGTAGCAAACATACCGCCACGCTGCAAAGCTCTTGCCTGTGATATCCAAACTTTTTATGCCTCTGACTCATAAAATTCCCAGATGACAGTGTCAGCGTTGATCCGCTCTCCTGTCACCGGTTAATGAATAAGGCCGGGCGCAGCGTGGACAGCTATTGCTAGCGCGTGTCTCGCTGGGGTCTGTGAAAACACAGTGGTGCAGCCTGTGGCCTTATATGCAGGTTTTCTTCTGACGTTGCGTCGGTTGGCGCTGCAAATAGACCAGTGGCGATCCTGTGCATTCCCTCAGCATGAAGAAAGCACAAACAGTGACACGAGGCAGCAAAGGCTCTACAAAGTTATGTAAATAGACAAACACACACACACACACACACACACACACACACATAAATACAGGATCTAGAAGTTTAGATGAATAATTACTGATGCATGAAATTCTATCATACGCAGAGCCTGGGAGGATTAGATCAATATAAACAAGGAGGAGTGTGTGTGTGTGTGTGTGTGTGTGTGTGTGTGCTGGGGTGATTGAGGGGATCATTTCATAGTAGAGGGATTGAGAAGGTAGTCAAGGACAAATAATCACTGTCAGCAAGAGCTGTCAGCTGTCAACACAAAGGGAGAGCAGTTGTATATAGAGCAGGTAAAAAAATAACTGTTTTTATAGACTGGCTTTTATGTTATTTTGTTATTGATATATATATATATATATCAATATCGATATATATATATCTATATATTTATATATAGATATATATCTATATATATCTATATATATATAGATATATATATCAGGGTTTGACTTTGACCCTTGTCTTGCTTTGTTCAGCCATACTTGAGCTTCCTGTTGTTGCCGTACTTTGCTGCTATGTTGGTCAACGCACTTTGTTTTTAAGGTCTTTTTTGTGTATATGGGCATGTGTGGCAAAGAGAGACCTTTTCTAGTCCCATTGAATAAGAACTAATAATCCTCCTTTTTTATTTACTACTTACCGAGTACGCTATCCGTCACCCCCTGTTTGCTAGGCCTACTAACAGTCTGCAGCTTTTTAAAATCAATTGTAAAGAGACAACTTTGTCTCATTCATTTCTCTACAATGAAGCAGATTTGTGCACTAGTCCTTTAAATTTGTGCTGTCTGTTGAGGTAAACCGCCCGGAGTATTCCCTGCATACACGTACATTATGAACACGTATGTGCACATGTAAGGGTGGAGCTGTCTGGTTCATGTGGGCGTCATTGACTCAAGTGTACTTTTTTCGCTTTTTCTGTGGCAGTGACCCCGGGAGGAATCCCCTCAGCAGGCCTGACTAATTTGGCCATGAGCGTGGCATTAACTACACATTCCTTCCGAAGTGGTGTCTCCACTTCCCTCTCCCCCTTGACGGCAACACTTTAAATAAACTGAGCGCAGGACTGTTAGCAAAGGCCACCACTTTCTGTGTCTGACCCTTAGTACGACCTCAATTAATGTATTTCCTCTTATTTTTAGCCTCTCTTTGTGACGGGCCAGTGAATTGCCGAAGTGCAGAGTGTGACAGAAGGGAGAAAAGTAAAGAAAGTCTTAGCTCCCTTGAGTTGTGGAGGCGGGAGCTTCTTTGTCCCTCCAACTGGTAGAGGAAAAGTCAGTGAGCAAAGCCAGCCACCTTTTGACAAGAGTGAGAAAGTTTATATATTCTCTTCCCCCCTGTAACTCCAGCGTCGGGTCTCTTATGAAGCCGTGGAGAGACAATAACAGAGCGCTGGGGATCAAACACTGCTGCCCAGGAAATTTTAATCATCAGCGCACCACTGGCTTTTTTTTCCCCCCATCCGATGTTGCCAGGCAACAGGTGAGGCAGGCCCCAGATATTCTGTATGTGTATGCGTGTGGTATATTTCTAGTAGGGCAATGGGCGGCAGTGGCGATCAGGGTGTGTATAGAGGAACCGTAGGGTTATTTTATTAATCTGCATGGGGAGTCTATTCTCTTTCTCCTTGATAAAACCCTTTCAGCTCTTTCTTTAAGGCAGGTGGCCCGTCTGCCCTCGACTTTTGTCCTGTGATCATTCAGCTCGGCGGGGACCCGTGTCAGGCATCCCCCTTAAAGAGAGCCTTTGAGAGGAGGCTAAATTAATTAATTGTCGGTATGTGAGAGACACCGTTGGAGTTATGGAGAGTTGGCAAAGCCGAATCTCTCAAGAAAATCGAGTTTGCAATGCAAATACTGTTAATCATTTTTGTTGACTTTTTCAGAACATATGGTCTACAAACAGCCCTCGAGAAATATTACTCGCCATTGAAAGTTGAAAGAAGGCAGATGGCCTGAGCTTTATTTTTCTAGTGAACTATTTCCTCTCAACCTAAGAAGTTCTAATGGAAAGGCCCTGAATTAAAACATGTGTGAAAGTACAATTTACCCCTTGGTTTCTCACCCAGGCAGAACAACCCTAGCGAACCGCACTT